TTTATAATTCTTCATGCTTGAAAAGGGCTTTAAGGCGTACTTGGGTTTAGGGTTTCAGGTTTCAGTGTGGTCCAACACTTGGGTTTTTGATGTGAAGTTGCTTCCTTAGTTTGGGTTAACGATTCCGAAAGGAGTTTAGAGTCCTAGATTTGGGCATCAGGATTAAGGTTCGGCCTGTCTCGGTTACGTGGAGGGCTTTGCAGGGCTTAAGGGCTCGGGTTCAGGGCCTTTAAGGCTAATGGCTTTTGTTATGTTGCACTAACGGGCTTTGGGGTTGAGGTTCCAGCACCTGAATCATCTCGGAATGCATGCGGCTGTGGTTTTCTGGAGGTATCTGGTGGTCAACTTGCGTCCACAACTTAACAGGACAGCACACGTAAACCCGGAAGCCCTAAACCCAGTGAATCATATTGGCATATTGGCACACGAACTTAATTTGACAGTCAATCCTTTGGGTTTAGGGTTAATAGTTAATCAATGGCCTAGGATTGTGGGGTTAATAGTTAATTAATGGCCTAGGATTGTGGCACTGGTCGGCGCATATGTATGGAAGTACAGGATTACCAAGCCGTAATCATCCCAAAACCGAGCAAGCCCCTAACCGCAAACCCTGACAAAACCATAGACTATAGACCCGATTATCAGTCTTGAACGTTGAAACCCTGAATTGTAACAGCCCGAAGCCCATCAAACTCTGGACTATACAAGCCCCAACTTCTACAGCCGTGCAGGCACACAAACTCCTCTAAGAGCATCTTGCTTATGCATCCTAATCCCTAAACTCAAGTCGTACGACTTCACGCTCCAAACTTGATATAATGGGGCTTACCTTGGGGTTTGCGGATCAGAGTTTAGAGTGGGCTGAGTGTCAGAAGTTAGTGGGTGTGTGGGGCGTTTGGGCTTGAGTACGAAAGCTCAATTAAGGCTTTACAGTGTCGATGGGGTTGAGAACGGGCTCTGGCTCCATGAGCCTACCCAAAGGCCCCAAAGTAGTTCCTTTTTGGGATAACCTTATAGGATTCTATATACGGGTGATTGTCCAAATTAGGGTCCCTTTTGGGTCCCCTAAATATGTGCCGTATCATACTAGGGACCCAAAAAGGGACCCTAATTTTGACAACCACCCATGTGAGCCCCCAAAAAGGAACTACTTTGGGGCCTTTGGGTAGGACGAGCTCAAAATCGAAGACTTGGCAGAAGGTAGGTCGACAGGGTTGTCTTACCTTGGGTTAGTAGGGAGTAGGGCTCCTTTAGAGGGATCTATAGGGCTCCTTTAAAGGGATCTATAGGGGTTTAGGGTTCCTTTAAAGGGATCCTTACCTTGGGTTAGTAGGGAATGGAGGAATGGGATATAATTATAACTACTGTTAATTACTACCATTCTTCCATTCCCTACTAACCAAAGGTAAGTTGTGCAACGTCTGGAGGGCGTGGAAAAGGTGGGGTGAAGGTCGGTAAGATGAAGGATCCCTCATACTCCTGATACGAGGAGTGTTATTTGGGAGTTTCCGAAAACTAGGGGTACCTTATTTTGGGTTTTTTATAATAAGGATCCTACTGTTTAGGGTAATATATTAGGGTCCCCAATATCCGGAAACCCCCATTTCAGGATTACCCCACCTACGGTACCTTCATCCAACACTCGGAGCCCTTTGCAACTTGGACCGTAAACCCTGTAAGCCCTAAGCCCTAAACCCTAAGCCCTAAGCCCTAAACCCTAAGCCCTAAGTCCTAAACCCGAAACCCTAAGCCCTAAACCCTAAGCCCTAAGTCCTAAATCCCTCAACTCGGAAGCGGCCTCTGCTGGAGAACTGGAGTCCCAGTGAGGTCTCGGAGGAGCCTTGATGAGTAGGGTTTAAAACCCACAGGCTCCTACAGTAGAAGCCCAAAAATTGGAAACCCCAGAGCCTCCATCCTTCAGAGTAATGTATAGGGAATCCCAGCATTATTTGGCCTTAATCCAGTTTCCAACCTTATGGGGCTTAATGTATGTACCGATATAGTAGAATGTAGGGTTTCAATACCAAGAACTACTATTATGACTCAGGGAAGTATCCCCCACAACAGTACATAGGACCCTTTTGGGAAAGCTTAGGGTTGTAGATCTCGTGCGTTTGGGGGGTTACGGGTGTAGGGTTTAGGGGTGTAAATTTTGGGGCTTAGGGTACCTACAGTCACTATAGTTTCCATTGGGGTCCCTCGTTTGATTCAGCCGACTTGAACTTCATGCTCCCATAAAGTAACCCCTAAGTTCCTCTAAGGGTTCTTTCTATAAGAGATCTAGACTATACTGAACTTAGAACCCTAGCAAAAATCATAATCTTAGCTGTTTCTTAGGGATTATAATAACCAAAAACTAAAATTTATTTCGATTTACCCCTAAGTATAATCAGGGCGCAGGAGTTACCAGTCTGCAAATCTTTTGCTAACTCATGGATCCCTCTAAGCCCAGAAGTCCTTGTGCGGCAGCGTGGTAGGGTGAAGGGTTTTTGGGCTTAAAGCTATAAGGTTGTGGGTTACGGGTTCAGGGTTTAGGCACAGCACTGCGGAGTAAAACAGAATGTCATGGAGAGGCGCAGACCGCAAAAAGCTTGCCTTTCAAGCGAAGGTAGACAGTACGGCCGGACCTCGCTCGGACTTTGTGCACGTCCTGGAAATTGCCGCGGCAGGTTCTGCATCGCAACATGCTTCATCCCGTGCCTGTTCCAGATCGGAGCCTATGGCGGCCACAACCAACTCGCGTGCCGCGCTGGCAGGTTCTGCATCGCAACATGCTTCATCCCGTGCCTGTTCCAGATCGGAGCCTATGGCGGCCACAACCAACTCGCGTGCCGCGCTGGCAGGTTCTGCATCGCAACATGCTTCATCCCGTGCCTGTTCCAGATCGGAGCCTATGGCGGCCACAACCAACTCGCGTGCCGCGCTGGCAGGTTCTGCATCGCAACATGCTTCATCCCGTGCCTGTTCCAGATCGGAGCCTATGGCGGCCACAACCAACTCGCGTGCCACGCTGTGTGCCACACCTCCAGCACGTAAAGTTAGGCTACAGGGTCAGTGATCAATGAAGCGGGGGCAGCGAGGGAGGTGAGGGCGGTGGAGGCGAGGGGTGTTTGGCCATGCACTGGAGCCCTTAAAATACGCTTCCACATAAGCAGGGAGGGATGTCAGGGCTAGGGGGTCCGTGAGATGGGGGCAGTGAGGGCAGTGAGGGTTTGGGCATGCACTGCTGGGGCAGTGCGCACGCTCGGGTTTGAGCGTGCACTAGACCGAGAGGACAGCAGTGGCAGTAGGGGTTTCGGCATTCACGGAAAGAATCGAAAGGGAAGTGGTGGCATTGGAATTTGGCCATTCACAAGAGCTCTCAAAATGTACTTCCAGAGAAACGCAGGGAGGGACGTAGGGACTGGGGGGTCAACGAGGTCGGAACGATGAATTCGGTGGGGGTAGTGATCGGTGGGGGTGATGAAGGTCATGACCAATCCATGTTCGACTTTCCCAGCTTCAGGGTGGTGGCAGAGCATGCAGGTGAACCCAGGGGGAAAGCAAAGCTGGTTTGGGGTTACATACATCCTCGCACATGCTGGCCTTTCTGGGTCGTCCTCTGTCTTTGCAGCCAGATCCTAAGCATATCCCAGACTATGCGGAAACAGAACTGGTAGGGTTAAACTCCGACCCTCAACACCCTGAAGCACAAACCGCAACCCCTTCCTCAACCTGAAACCCTACACCCAAAACTCCAAATCAAACGACAAGAACAGACTTACTAGAGATATAACCGTACCCTACGACTTTAAGACTCAACATCGCCCCAAGGCTTCTTGCAGTTTGTATGTATGTATGTATGTATGTATGTACGTGTGTAATGTATGTGTGTATGTATGTGTATATGTACATACATACATGCAGAAGCATTGCTCAAGGATATCACTCCTTGGGGCCGACATAGTTCCTAGCAGTAAAAAGAAAGAGCCCTGCAGCCGATCCCTTTAATAATTCGACTAGTGACTAGGGTTTGGGGATATATATATATATATATATATTATACTTTAAAAATATCATAAGGAACCCCCAGAACCCTACTCTAATTCTCAAATCCCCTACATTACCTCGGAGGACGGCTGGGCACTCGGGCGGCCTGGGTCGCGTCGCACTTCCGATGGCGACGAACATCCTTCGGCTCGGGGTAAGAGGGTTCTCAATACTGAAAATAGGTTTGGGGTGGGGGTTACTTTCGAGCATAACAAGGAACTCAGAAGTTGATTTGCGTCTATAAATATCCACACTTCTATACGCGGATGACACCGGAGACGGACTACGGGACGGTCGGGACATACAAGTTGCGTCTCAAACATCAATTCTTCCTTACCTGCTCAAGCGTACCACCTAGTAGACCCTTACCCAAAGGATCCTCAGATCCTGCAACCCTCAACCCTCAATGCTAATAACAACTCTGTACAAACCCATTCTGACCCTACACCCAAACAAACAAATGAAACTCGCTAAGTACTGCTTGACGTATACTACAATATGCCAATCGAAGCCTGCAAAACCATCAGAACAAGGCTAAACACAGCCGTATTCAACACTCCGACACCCTGAATGGTCACACCCTACTTAGAGGATCATGGGACTTAGTAAGTAGGTTATAACTGGGGTTATAAGTCCCCTAAGTGGGGTTATCCTAATTATAACCTACTTATAACCTTATATACTTACTAAGCCCCATGAGCCTTTAAGTACCCTCGACATCCTGAACCCTGACCTGCATGAAACCCGAAAAGCCCTGGCCCACCGGCACGCACCCTGCTAAGTTGGAAAAGACACGGACGAAAAGTTCATGAACATCCGTTCAAACCCTGCAAAAGCCTGTTGATGCCCCAAAACCCCCGAAGCAGCACCTCCGGGCTTTTTACTTGGTACCCCATAGCCCTCAATGCACCCTCTGAAAACAAGCGAAATCTCTGCTAAACTAAATCCTGGTACAGAACCACTCAAAAATATCTCCACGAGCCTTGAGTCCAAGAACACCTCGATCCTAATGACTTCTTACCTTGGGGTTGTAGGGAATGGAGGAATGGGATACAAATATAACTACTGTTACTACCATATTACTAGCATAGTACTATCATATTACTACAATATTACTACCATATTACTACCATATTACTATCATATTACTACTATGTAACAACTATTACTACCATTCATCCATTCCCTAGGAACCAAAGGTAAGTTTGCCGGTCCTCCGCCCTTTTCTCTCCAAGGCTACCTGTTTCTGTGCCTTGTCTTGGGCTTCGTGACCTTAGGGTTTAGGGTTTAGGGTTTAAGGTTTAGGGTTTAGGGTTTAGGAGTCTTGGGCTTCGTGACCTTAGTTGCAGCCGCCTAAGGAGGAGGGGCCTAAGGAGGGGCGGTTCGGGGCGGTTGAGGGGGGGGGTGAGAACCACCCAAACCTTCCAAAACCCCTTAATTAAGGAATATACCTTAAATCATATTAGGGATCCTATTATAGTTTAAGGTATATTCCTTAATTAAGGGACTTTGGAAGGTCTGGGCACCTCCGATCCTCTTTCGCGGAGGACCTTTCGGCTCTGCCACTCGAACGATTCCGCCTCTTCGCTTGCCGCCTTCTCTGCATGTCTCAAACAGGTCCAGCCTCGGGCCACCGTCGCCGAGTGTCCAAGAACACCTCGATGATACGTAACGGTAGAAGCCTACTACCCTAAGGGTCCATGTACCCTAAATTATATACTTTCGCCCCAAAGTACCTATACAGGGACTACCTTGGGGCCAAAGTATATACTATTTGGGTACATGGACCCTAGGGGCTAAAGGCCTAGGCTGCCAGACCCATGCAAACCCTTGAAGAAAGCTGTAAACAAGACCCTCTAGAATCTAGAAATCCCGCGACAACCCTTAATTGCAGGGTCTTGGCGTCTCTGGCAGCTATAAGAACCTCACTTCGGACTAACTATGGTTCCTTTGCTTACAACTCGACTAACCCTAGTGTGCAAAAACCCAGGCCCCATGGCAGTCCCTTCTGAAAGGCTATCCCCTAACCTCAAAACCCAAAGCCCAAGAGTCTAAACCCTATTCCGTAAACCCCCGAAAATCTTAATCCTTAAGCCCTATATACTGCAACGTTTAGGGTTTGGGGACCCTCTTCCTAAACCCCGAAATCCTTAAGCCCTAAACTGCACGGTTTAGGGTTTAGGGCACTGCTCCCTAAACCCTCAAATCCTAAGCCCTGAACCGCAAAGTTAAGGGTTTAGGGCCCTCTTCCCTAAACCCTCAAACCCTTAAGCCCCAAACCGCAAGATGAGGGTTTAGGGCCCTGTTGCCTAACTTAACCCCGAAACCCCTAAACCCCTAACTCAAAGCCCTTAAATCTTAACTCAAAGCCCTAAACCCTTCACTCAAAGCCCTAAAATCTTAACTCAAAGCCGTAAAATCTTAACTCAAAGCCCTAAACTCAACACTCAAAGCCCTAAACTCGAAGCTCTGACCCTGGCAGATCCTGGAGTCGGCTTTGCAGCAGCCGCTGGCCGGCAGTCAAGGCGGCCGCGCTGGCCACTTCCACAGCCTGTCGGTTTAGGGTTTAGGGTTAAGGCGAATAGCCTACCATTTAGGGTTTCCTTATTATGATTTCCTTATATACGTCCTTAAAACGGTAGGTTATTCAGGGTTAAGTAAGGTAGGGCTTAGGGCTTAGAGTTTAAGGCTTGGGGTTTAGGGTTTAACTGGGGCCTGCTCAACAGCTGCTTAAGGATGTCTTTTGCAGGGCTCCTTGGAGGGTTTCGGGTTTAAGGGGGGGTTGTTCAAGGTCTGGGCGAAGATGGGGTCGAGAATAGGGCTCTTCCTCTTCAAGGAGTCTAGGAGGGTGAAGATCCGGGCTACCGCATTGCAACCATAGGGGTCTGAAAGATGAAAGGGCATACTATACCCAAAGGGTCCAAAGTATCGATATAGTAGAATGCAGGGTTTCTATGTTAGGAATTGCTAGTATGATATTGGAAAGTATTCCCCATAACAGTACATAGGACCCTCCGGGATAGTTAAAGTAGTACAAGGACTGCAAGGGGGGGGTGATCTCTACTAATCAAAGCTACTAAAACAACTATGACTATGAAGCACACATTAGGGTTGAGCTGTTTTAGGGACGTTTAGGTCTTAAAGTGGATTTAGGCGGCATTTTGGGAACAGTTTGATAATTACCGAAAATCCCCCTACTCGTGCAGCCGTACAGGATTTTTGGGCTGTGGGCTGGCGTGGGAGCTTGAGAAGGCTACGCAGCCTAACACAAGCCAACACTGAAAGCAGTAACATTCTGACTGAGGACCCAAAGAGGATCCTCAGCATTGAGAAGGGGTTTAGGGTTTAGGGTTTACATAGGGTGCCTAAACCCTAAACCCTAAAACCCTAAAGCCCCAATCCCCAGTGTGCCTCCGGCTCCTCACAGCCTTGGAGCCACAGCGCAAGCGCTGCAGCCAGGGCCCAGCGCATGAGTTCACAGCACAGGATATTCAAGGGTTCAGGGATTGGGGGTGGTGTTTAGGGGCTTCTGGTTTTAGGAGCTTAGGGTTTAGGATGTGGGGATGGAGGGTTAAGGGGTGGTGTTTGGGGGTTTAGGGTTTTGGGGTTCGGGGTGAGGAGGAGCTGCAGGCCCAGGGGCTTGGGGATTTGGATTGGGGTTTAGGGATACGAGGGTTTAAACCTGTCGAGGCTTGCAGAATAAAGTAGGTGGCTTAATGATAGGAAGAAGCTTTGGGGCATAGAGTCGCATAGAGAAGTCTAAGGAATAGTGTAGGAAATCATTCAGCCTCAGTTTGTGTGGAAGCTTTGCTTGGGAGCTGGTGCAATGACTTTCTTCCTGGTTCACCTCCCCATCCTAATCCTGAACCCTAAACCCAATGGGCTCGGTACGAATTAGGGTTTGCTTTGGGTCTGAACTTCCCGAAAGCCGAAGCTCGGCAAGCTGTCCCTGGTTGGTCAAGCTTGAAAGTTTCCTGATAGTATGTACTGAAGTCTTGAAAGGGTTTGTGTGGAGCTGGGCTGTACGATCTACGAGGCGTCTCGTTTGGATGCCACCAGAACCAACCAAGTGCTTGGAAACAGAAAGGACCACCCGAACAGTAGTAAACAAACGGTGAGTCCGCGACATTAGGGCTATGTCGTACGTATTCGGATCTCGAACGCTCCAGGGTAAGTGCCGTACTGCACACATACCTAGGATCACTGTACCGTACTGACCTGTGCTATATAGACTAACGCAACCTGCACTTACTACAACGCAGTAAAATTTCGCATAGCGACAACTTGGACAAGCTGTCATTTAGTCAGACTTTAATGTAACTAGAATATATGCCATTGTATTACACCAATATTGAACTGTATCTAAATTTAAACACTATGATATTGTGCTATACCACATTAGGACGATGTGATACTGTAGTTCTACTATATTCCAATGGCATCATCGTGCAGGTATATTGTTCTATGTTGGTACCGTTCTATGTGCCCACACTCATGCTGTACGATGCAATACATACAGTACGATAAGGAACACTGTGTGTGTTGATTGACTCGTGGTGAATCACACATTAAACCATAAATGTGTCTTTGTACTGTTGGTGTATTGTAAAAACCATATCATATGTTGTGTTATAGTGTATCCTTGTATACTATATTATGGTATAAGACTTGGTACGTGCCGTGAACTGCTAGTTTCAGGAACAGACCCCGGCCACTCCCGCAACAGCCAAGTAAAGAACACCACAGACACCAACGATATCAGCAAACAACAACAACGAAGAACATACAAATACCCGAGGATATCCAAATAACAAAATACCAAGAACCCAAACCTACTTGTCGGGTATCATGGGGAACTAAAGGTTAATGTTTTTGGTTATATAGGGATTGTATAGGGACTATACTACCAAAAAAAGTTAAAGGTATCCTACTCTACTACTATGGAAAAAAGAACATGTCGGTTTGATTGGCTTTGGAACTCCTCCCGAATGTTGCTCTGTTGTCGCTGTGGTTTCTGTTTTGGGTCTCCGCTGTTATTTTGTCTTTTTGGTTTCGGTTTCGGTGGTTCTTTTGGTTTTGGACCTCGTCTGGGACTTCGGTTTTGCCGTCTTATGTGGTTTGCATGGCTTGGATTTCCTGGATTTGGGGTTTCTGACAAAGGTGCAGAGTGAGGCCGTCGGCGGCCTTTCATCCCAGTACTAGTGTATACGCTTTTTAGCCATTGGTTCCATTCGTTTACAATGAAAAGAAACGAATGTGCGAAATGACTGAAACAAAAGCAACACCCAGGAACCACAATCTTGTGTTGTGTTTAAGAAGTGGCGGCACAAACCTGTTTGTTGAAGTTCGATGAGTTCAACACAAAATACCTGAGAACCGAAGTCAAACATGATTCCACTATGCGAAAGAAACAAGGAACCACACTTGACTATCTACCTGTGTTATGGCGGCATGAAGAGATGAAAGACGTGATGACAGAATCCCCCAAGGTCAACATGTACATTGGTCAAATGGTCTTTGTGTTTATACATTGTCAATTTTGAGCTTTTTTGGCACAAACCAAATACAATGAAACGAGCCAAAGAAGAGAGCGGAACGTAAGCCTGATTTTATGTTACACACGTAGCTCACCTGACTTTCGATCACGACTTCGAACGTTGTAGCGTAATGGCTGAGGAATTTGGTATTCATTTTGGTGACTACTCTTAGGAATCTCCTGGACATTAACATCAGTCCTTAGAGGAATGGTGATCTCTCTCGCTCTCTCTCTCTCTCTCTCTCTCTCTCTGTCTACATATATATATATACATATGTGTATATATATATATGTATATATAATATATACATATGTATTCAGCATGAAATAGGACTGTACCTCCCAAGAACCAGAAGTTCCACACGTTTAAAATCCATTAAAATTACATGGCATACCTTCCTGCGATCTGTGTTTAATCATGCCTAGCTTGTGTGGAGGATTTAGAAGCTGCTTAGTGCCCATCTCTCAAGAGCCTCAAGAATTGGTCCATCTTAGAGTTTCGTGGAGATCAGCTCGTTCCTATTATCCTAAACCCCTTTCTATAATCTCAGAGTTTGAAGGTGGTACGAGAAAAACATGTGCGCCACCAATATCCACTTCCTCTAGTTATGACTTCTTGTCATCAAATCACAGGAGATCTTATGCTGGATTGTTTGTCGACAATCACCCACCTCCATTCTGACTTTATCACTTTCAAGCACAGCAATTCTCATAATTATTTAGATTGTTAGTCTCTGGTGTGCCATGGCTAATAGCACAACAGAAGCACTAAATCAAGGAAGCTGTTAAAAACGACTTTGATTTTTTTTTCGACTTTGACTTTAGGTGGTTGGGGACAAGCAAGTACTTGGAGCGTTTCGAGTTCAGAAGTCTTGGGGTTTTGAAGGTCGTTGGAGTGTTAGTTTAGGGTTTAAGCTTCGAAGTCTGGGGATTTGGGGGCTGTAAAGAATAGTGTTTTCTGGTCCTTGGAGTGCTTGGGAGATTGCAAGTGCAGGCCGCACCCTTGGGCGAGTGTAGGGTGTAGGGTTTGTAGTAGGGGTTTGGGTTTGTGTGTATAGGGCTTCATGCGAAGGTTGGAGCATGTATGTTTTGGATGTTGCTAGCCACCACAGGTATACAAGAACTTCATCTTGGCAAGTTGCCTTCCTTACCTAGTCGCGCCCTAAACCCTAAACCCTCAAAGTTGCGACAGCTAGTACGCTCGGATTTGAATCCGGCTGTACAAACCCTCAGCGATTGGGAGACTTTTCCAAGCCGAGGGTTTGAGAGTTTCCACATCCACGGGGCCGGGATTCAAATCCGAGCGTGCAGGCCGGGAGTCAAACCCGAGCAGTCCTTAACCCTATAAACCCTGTAAAAGTGAACCTCTGCCTCTACAATCCTTGCGTCTCGAAAACTAGGCCTGATGTCTCCAGATTTCGAAACCTCGGAAACAAGCCCGGCTCTTGAAACTGAAAACAAAACGCTTTCCGCCAACCCCAGAAACACGACCCTCGAGCACTGTCGCAACTTTGAGGGTTTAGGGTTTAGGGCGCGACTAGGTAAGGAAGGCAACTTGCCAAGATGAAGTTCTTGTATACCTGTGGTGGCTAGCAACATCCAAAACATACATGCTCCAACCTTCGCATGAAGCCCTATACACACAAACCCAAACCCCTACTACAAACCCTACACCCTACACTCGCCCAAGGGTGCGGCCTGCACTTGCCGCGGCCGTTGCTTTCGCCGCGCTGTGGCCGCTGCCACTAGCAACCCTAAACCCTGCCGTAGGCCTTGTCGTCCGGTTCCCAAAAACCCTTCGCCTAACCAGCAATCTCCCAAGCACTCCAAGGACCAGAAAACACTATTCTTTACAGCCCCCAAATCCCCAGACTTCGAAGCTTAAACCCTAAACTAACACTCCAACGACCTTCTAAACCCCAAGACTTCTGAACTCGAAACACTCGAAACGCTCCAAGTACTTGCTTGTCCCCAACCACCTAAACTCAAAGTCGAAAAAAAGAAATCAAAGTCGTTTTTAACAGCTTTCTTGATTGAGTTCAATGAAGTGTCAGTTCGCTTTGCAATTGAGCCAGGAGCATGCCCAAGAGCACAACCTAGAATGATTGCGTAGAATCTAGTCGAGAAGAAAAACAAAGATTTAATAAATACAAGCAAGCGCGCTTGGCTTACTCTTCCTCGTTAATGTATGCCTCTTGCAGCAATATCCGACCATTGGACAACCGATGTCTAGTTAGTCGAAAAAATCAAAACACCGGGGTCGCTGTCCGACTTCTAACCTCTTCTTTCTGGATACTCCGTTGTTATATATGTTACAGTAGAGCATATTCGGCTGCATCGCTTATAATGCTCAAAAGTGCTTGTACATTACATTATGTTGAAACTTTATGTTGGAACTACTTGTGTTTAAACTTGTTTCGATATAAGATCGCGCGGTATGACATGAGATGGCATCATATACGGTACGAGAAACGTACTAGAGTATATTAGAGTATAAGAAGTATGATCTAACAGAGTGTAATGCTACACAATACTATACAACAAAACACAGCCCGCACATCAGACACAGATACAACAAACATACGATCATACAGCACAGCATATCATGGCATAGTACACAACAGTATACCAACACGTTCAATACAACATGTCACAGTATAGTTCAGTATAATACCATGCAACATAGTGCTAGACGATCCGATACAGTAGAAATGTATGTATGAAGATGTAGGTACGTATACACATAAACAAACAATTATCTAAACCGACCAAAAAATACATAAAACAACACACACTACCATTTAATGCCGTTTAGATATCCATATACATGCACATACAGATAAACATACATAAACATATACGACTACATATACAGATGCACATGCATACATGAACACGCACACATACGCATAATCATATTTATACAAACTACACA